GGTAAGATGTTAAATTTAGTTTTATTTCATTATTAGATATAAATTAAACATTTATTCAAACTATGCTATCCTTTGTGTAAGGCTTTTGAGTTATTTTTGAGTGATTTTTTTTTTCCAGTGATATATTTTGGTGGTCTGCACCCTAACCCCACTTTTCCCATAGGCCCTGTTATTTCTGTAGCAATTTTCTATAATGCGAGGTTGCGCAGAACTGACTGTACTGGCCTCTGTGCAACTATTTCATCTGAACTTGAAGAAAACGTGTTGAGAGAGAACTTCATCCTGCAAGATATCTTGATGTTGCAGGCTTTTTCTAACAGATGGACAAGCTTGGAATGTTAGCTGTTTCCAAGTGGGGATATTGATCATGTGACAGCTAGCTGTTGGAACACGATGGAAGCATCCATCTTAACAAAGCATTTTGATTTCCCACTATCAAAACTATAAAGGTACCATTGAAGCAGATAATGGAGTTCAGCCCCTCCTTGCAAATCAAGTTTTTTTTTAGACTCCTGCTTTATCACTTGCCATTCTTACTAAGAGGTCTGCTGCTTATCGTCAGTTTTAACCACTTTAATGCAAATCAGTTTCTTAGCAGTGTTGAAATCAAATGTATTCCTACAATAGCAACAGAATGGGAATGTACCCATGAACACATAACTTAATAGAAAAAAAATGAGAGAAAGCCAGTCCTTGTTTAGATGTTTTCCTATAACTATGCAAACATGAAGTGTTGCCAGGAGAAGAGCTGAGGATTTACAAGTAGCTGGCTCCTGGCAACAGAAGACTTTACTTGAGCTCAACAGCAATAACTTCTTGAATTAGTCCTTTTAAATGAAACAATAGTACTTCAATGCAGTCTAAAAGATGAATAAGGAAGGAAAAATAGAAAACTAGCTAGAAATAGGAAAACAAATTGAAGGAGTGTATAGATTATAGATATTCAGAAAGAAAGAGTTAATAAATGTTGATCTATAGAACATGAGTCTGGGGAAATTAATAATGGAAAATAAGGCTCGTGAGTTAAACAGGTGTTTGTATCCAATAAATACAAAATATTGCAGATGCTGGACTTGTGCACCCAGCACAAAATACTGGAGAAACGCTGCAGGTCTGGCAGCGCCTATGGAGAGAGAAACAGAGTGAACATTTTGAGTCCAGTATAACTCTTCTTCAGATGTTCCAGAGAAATGGTACTGAGCAAATTGTTGGAACTGACCAGACGAACTTCATCCCATGGTCTTAAAAGAACACTTAAGTGAGATAGTTGATGTGTTGGTCTTAATTTTCTCAAAGCTCCCTTGATTTGCAGACATTCCCCTTAGAAAGGAAGTAGCAAATGGAGCTTCTTTATTCAAAAAGGGAAGCAGAGAGAAAGCAGGAAACTACCAGCTAGTTAGCATAACATGTGTCTCATAAGAGAAATGTTAGACGGACGACTTTGTAGCTGGATACTTTGATAAACTTATGTTATCAGCCAGAGTCAACATGGTTTTGTGAAATGGAAAACACCTTTAACAAATCTTTTGGAGTTCTTTGAAGAAGCAACATGTGCTGTGGACAAAGGGGATAGTGGATGTATTGCATTTAGATTTCCAGAAGGTATTTGATAAAGTGCTACATCAAAGGTTATTGTGGAAAATAACGGTGCTATGTAGGGGTAAGATATTGGCACGGATAGAAGTTTGACAGGCTGGCAGAATTAGAAAAGTCATAAATGAGTCACTTTCTGGATGGTAAGATGTAATGTGTGGTGTGCCACAGGGACTAGTGCTGGGGCCTCAACTTCTTATAACTTATATAAATTACTTGGATGAAGGGACTGAAGTACGGTTGCTAAATATGCTGATGACATAAAGGTAGGTGGGAACGCAAATTGTGAAGAGTTGCAGGGAGATGATGGTCTAGTGATATTATTACCGGATTTATTAATCCAAAACTCAGCTAATGTTCTGGAGGCCCGGGTTCAAATCCCACCACGTCAGATGGTGGAATTTGTGTTTGGGGAAAAAAAATCCTGGAATTAAGAATCTATACCATTGCTGATTGTTAGTTTAAAAAAAATCTAGCTCATTAATGTCCTTCAGGGAAGGAAATCTGCCATCCTTACGTAGTCTGGCCTACATATGACTCCAAACCCACAGCAATGGGCTGGAAGCAGCTCAGAAGATTTTCTCGATTGATACCTGGAACAGGTAGGTTGTCATATGAGGATAGGTTGGACAGGCTAGGTTTATTTCCACTGGAACTTAGAAGGGTAAGGGGTGACTTGATCAAAACAAGGTCCTGACAGGGTGGATTTGAATAGATGTTTCCTCCTGTGGAGAATCTCGTACTAGAGATCACTGTTTAAAATTAATCTTACACAGAGTTGAGGCAAAATATTTTCTCAGAGGGTGCTGTGGTTTTTGGAACTTTTCTTCAAAAGGCAGTGAAAGCAGAGTCTTTGAATATTTTAAAGGCAGAAGTTGAAAGGTTATTGGTGGTATGTGAAGTAATCAGATGAGTGTGATCCTAATTAATAGCAGAGCAGGCTCATGGGGCTAAATGGTTTCTTCCTGCTGTTAATTTGTATGTTCAGATCTTATAAAGCAAACTGAGATACCAAATTACATAAGGAAACATAAAAGAAGAGTCAGACAGAGAAAGTGTCAAAGTAATCCCAGAGGTTAGAGCCTAAGCAGCTGAAATGACAAACACTAATGTGGGAGCAGTTAAAAATTAGGGATGCTGAAGAGGGTTAAATTAGGTGAGTGCAGATTTATCAGAAAGTTACAGGGATGGAGGAGGTTACAGAGATGAAGAGGGGAGAGGCCATGGAGAAATTTGAAAATATCTATGAGAATTTTCAAATCAAAGTTTTTCTTTACTGGAAGCCACTGTAGGTCAGCAAGCATAAGGATGATGGGTGAATGGAAACTGGTGCAGGTTTCCAGCCAGTGGAATGTGGATAAACCTGCCAGGAAGGTACTGGAGTAATCAGATCTGCAGGTATCAAAAGCATGGATGAGGATTTCAGCAGTTGAGGCAGGAAGCATGTTGCAGAGGTGGATGTAGGAAGTCTTATTGATGGCACAGAATGTAGTTCAAAGTTAAATGTGGCACCAAGCTCGCAACAGTCTGATTCTGGTTCAATATCCAGGGAGAAGGATGCAATCATTAGCTATGGAGGATTTGCCTGGTTACTGCAAAACAGATTTTTTAACCTCCACTATAACAGTGAAATAAACTCCAGTATAATACTTCTGTTTCTACAAAATATCAAATCATTGAACTTTTAAATCCATGGAAGTTACACAAACAGTCTGTTTGGAACATGTTTGTAAATCTTCTGAAATTGAAAAATAGGGATTTTAATAATATTATACTCTGGTGGTGATTATACTTTTCAGAGCAGTATTGCAACCACTGTCATTTCAGAATTGTATGGTACAAGGGCTCCCAAACAAGAAAATAAGGATTTTTACCTGCATTACTACACAATGAAAGTCTCCAATAACACATTGAAGCTCATCAAAACTCAATACAAAAAATTGCCAGTTGTTTTAATTCATGACTAAAGACAACAAATCAATATTCAGATTCAAACACATGCCATCCTTACAAAAGCAATAACGGCAGAAAAGCTGGTTTAATAAAGAGGAACCGCATGAATTTAATGTAATTCCATGGAAACTCTACTGGACATGGGATTTTTTACCTTAGCCTGCATCTTTTTCTGTTATGGACTTATAAGGACTTATTTAGTCTTTGTGGTAAAGGTTATTTCACCTTCTTGACAAATATTCTGTTACTCAAACTGCCTCATTGTAAAGTACTGTAGAGATTGGAACCGGGGGACCTTGTTTACTACAAGGTTCTTGATTGGGGTTGTTAACCCTGGGCCAATCAAGAAAGCCTTGGCTGACCAATGTAACCAGGAGAGCCCCTAGGGGCTCTGCTTGTTGCTGGTTCTTTGGTCACATGGGTGTTTTTCCTGGTGGCAGACGATTAATAAAGTTATTTACACACCTGATATTTTTACTGTGTCTTGCGCCTATACACACACAACATGGGTGCTGGGGGAAGTAAGCATTACTGCTGTATGGCAGTAGTGTAGGTTAGAATGTCCTCAGTTGAGGACCGACTCCGAGCTGGCTGGCTACAGCCAGTGTACTGTGCTCTAGTAAATAAAGGGTGACTAGGTGACGGGAACTGGCCCCTGTGCAGTTATTTCAGTTACGAATCCTGCAAAATGTTCAAGGATCACAATGTGTGAAATAATCAAACATTTTCAAATTAACATTGGGTCTTCAGAATTTATGTGTCAAAATTAATGAAATATGTTCACTTGAAACCTAGTGCCTGAGCTGTTTGTGGGAGGCTAGATTCTCTCTAGACACAGGTGGTAAGCTATTAGTATCAAATGGTTGATGTGATATCAAACACCCTTGTCCTATTACATACAACAGATGGACATGGTTTGCAGCCAAGTTGATTGAGAGCTGCACTCTCCAAAAGGAACATTTATGGGAATCTTCGAAGATCAATATCTCACATGCTGCAGTTGGGCCTTTGAGAACATGAAAGATGAGATGCTTTATATTCACATCTTTTGAAGTACCTGAGGGAATTGTATCACCTACTCATCACAAATAAGCAAATATGTTTTGATAAATAAATGTATACACATGAAGATTGTTCTGTATAAATATACTTCAAGAGGACTGTTTATCAGAAAGCATTTAAAAGATCCATATTAGTAATCATTTGCTCTTTATAGATTCTTATTGAACAAATTTTATATTCTCAGGATTAATATATTTTCACATTTTTAACATATTGCCATGCCATTAAAATTTTAAATTTTAAATTACAGGTTTTATTTGACAAATATAAAATTTTAATTTAACTTTTAATAATTTATATGTTAATAGGTATCACCAATTATTTCAGATCTCCATTGCTTGCAGTTAGGTTTATAGCCATTTAGTATTTGCTTGATTTTTGTTTTTTTGCAGCCTCTGCAAGGGAAGAACTCTATACTCTGTTGTTAGAGATGCTAAAATGGTGCTGGATGTGAACAAGACCAGACAGATTGCTCAGGAGATTGTGAAGGTGTGCCAAGTGTTATGATCCCTATTGAGACTACTACTTTTAAAAGATATTTGAATTTCTAATGACTGAAAGGATCACATAAAAAGATTTCAAGTTTTAAGAGGTTTACTCAAACAAACTCAAAGCAATATTGATTAACCATAATATAGGCGATGACTTACACCTTAAACTTAATTCTGTGCTGCAAACTGCACTTTTTAAAAACCCTCATCTGTGGTCGTAGTCATTTATTCTATGTTTTGTTCCTAAAAACACCGTTTGACAGGTTGTGACTGCTTTGACACATCTCGATACAAATTGACAAGTTGAAAGTTCCAAGGGGTTTTTGCACCTTTTACATAATCTTCTCCACAATTAACAATCCTACGGGGTCCTGGCCCCCTCCCCCAAAGATCCATGACCCTCATATCGAAAGGATACTTGACGCTGTCTGCAAAGAATCCTTGATCCCAACCTTCAAGTATACTGGGACCGAATGCACAAAGTCAGTCAGCTCTCCAAAGCGGTATCTTGGTAATCCAAAACAAATGTGCTAAAAGCAGATGTACTCTTATCGTGGTCTAATCTCCGCATTCCAGCTTCCAAACACTAGTATTCCAAAATCTGATCTGAGTGGGGCCAGCTAATCATTTAAATGACCAACCGGTCTCCACGAACCATGCATATTACATCGCACCCAAAACAGGCTATTCCAAAAATAAGAAATGCCAGGTGCAGGGGCAGCACTTAGCATTGCTTATCTCTTTTATCATTTTCACCATGGAGGGTCTCTGTCATGCAGAGATTCTGGGCCTAATGTCAGCACAGACAGTCTTGCCATTATCCAGAGGTGTAAGGATCTTGCACCTTCTCAGTAAGTCACTTGGTTTGGTCCATCTTGTCCCCATTGCAACCTTGTCACCCAACCTTGTTGTCAGGAAGAATGTAGAGCTGCTCATTCATCCATTTTACCTGAAAACAAAGCAACAATCCTAAAACATAGCAATCTTTTATAAACCTCTGATTTGTAATAAGAAGGACACCATAATATAAAGTACTTGAAATCACTGCAACAAATATTGAATTTTATTTTGAAAGTTTATCATCTATCATTAGTCCATGGATGCTTTAAAAAAAAACAAAATGTTACTTGTTTGGTGCTGATTAATTTGCATAGAATTTTTACCTTGGGAAAATATACTATTTGTTTTGAGGTCTCCAATGCGATTAACTCTACCACTTACTAAAAACATTTTTTTTTTATTTTCAAGGGAATGGGTTACCTACACGCTAAAGGAATTATTCACAAAGATTTGAAGTCAAAGAATATTTTCTATGATAATGGAAAGATAATAATTACTGACTTTGGTCTCTTCAGCATCTCTGGAGCTTTACAAGAGGGCAGGTACAGTACTGCGGTGCATATCAATCATTGCTGTCAACTTAAATAACATATATCAATTATTTGTTCTCTCTTAAGTTTGCTTTTAATTTTCTCTTCAAATAGATTATAAATAAAATAGATTTTATTTCCATTTTAGAATGGCTGCCCATTTTCTTGAAATTGTAGACAGAATAAACATTCATTATTTCAGTTCGAAGTACTATTTTAAATTTACTTTAAATATGACTTCACAAAGATTTAATTAAATAGGAAGCAATGAAAATATTTGTTGAAACAAAAACAGAAGTTACAGGAGAAGCTCAGCAGGTATTAGTAACATCTGTGAAGAGAAAGCAGAGTTAACGTTTCGGGTCCAGTGACCCTTCTTCAGATTCTTCATCCTGATGTAGCTTTTGGAAGTACTTAGCTGCAACTGTTTACTAACCCATTGAGTATGTTGATAGCAACAGCATATACACTTATATTTAGGCAGAGTGTAATTTTTAAAAATATATTTCAATAGATTTATTTGTTTTCTTCGCTAGGCACTAGGTACCCTTCTCTAACCGAGAGTGGATAGAAATCGTATTCTAGGTGGAAAATTCAGGCAACAGGATCATAGCAGAGGGAGGACAAAGAAAAGTTCAGTGTTTGGTAGGGAAGGGTCAGGGCAAGAGCAAATCATTGAAATCAAATGTTTCCCTGCAGTCTGAAGGAATCCAAAATGTAAATATGATGATACCCCTTTTTAAAAAATTATATTCCTTTCTGTGATTGCTGAAGAAGAGCTTTTAATGTAGCTGGTTGGAATTCCTTAGGTGGCGCTTGCAATTCATATTAAAACCTAATGCATTCTCTGCTCTCCTTGCTTTAGTGAAGTCATGGGTATCTTTTCTAATCTCTCCCCTTTTTTGACCAAAGCACCCTACTACACCTGGTGAATGGTTTGGTTTTGATTTAGTGTATTGGTCCCATCAGTTGCCTGCACAACTGGTTTGCAATGCAGAGTGATGCCAATATTGTGGGTCAATTCCCACACCAGCTGAGATTACCATGAGGATTCTCCTTCTCAACCTTTCCCCTCACCTGAGGTGTGGTGACCTCAGGTTAAATCACTACCAGTCATCTCTCTGTCTCTGTCTGATGAGAGCACAGTACCATTGTCTGGTAAGTCTATGGTGACTTTACCTATAACAAACCTAGGTAGCCTAAAATAGACCTATAAAAGTCATTATGCATTTCATGTTGCCTGTGAAACTTGAAATTACGTAGCACTAAGAATACTGTTTTCCAAACAATGTAGAATTTCCTCTCTTGCACAGCCATATAACGGGCCTGTTGCCAAAGTAAAATAATGATTAAGCAATCATTAGCTGTTAGAGAAGTGTGCCAAATGATCATCAGTTCAGTGATATTGACTAGATATTGCTGGGCAAGTTTATGAAGCACAGCAATAACAAATTGTTTTTATATACCACCTTTTAACATTGTAAAGCATCCCAGGGATGAGTATCTTAAAGGAGAGTCAAGTCTAGAGGTAACAAAGGCATATTCACCAGCAACAGATGAATATATCTTTTGAGTGAAAAAAATAATGTTCTACACCATGAACCTGTGGATTTTACAATTACCAGAAGGGGAAAATGCATCTCATGATATTTAATACAGCATGCAATTTAAAAATTACAGCCTACTGAAATGTCAAACAAATCATTGCCTTCTTCTTCATATTAAATTAAATTGCATTCATTAGATAATTCAGTGTCATATAACCTATTATTTATTCCTCTACAATGTAAAGCAAACATTTAAATAGGGACATAATGACTACAAATTGCTTGTGCTGAAAGACTGAACATTAAGGTAATTGTGACTTTAAAATACATCAATTTTTCATGAGACAAGAAAAATGTGTTGCTTTATCTAGACCTCTAAGCTCCACACCGGATTTAGTATTTTACAGAAGCTTTCATAAATTGTTACTATTCTGAAGCGATTTTCTATTTGGGTTTCATTTTTAAAGCATTTATGTAATTAAAAATACTTTTATGCTTCAAAAATACAAAGGAAATTCAGCATAGAGATTCTATGAAAGAGTTTTGTGAGAAATGAACCCTATCTTTTTACTTGTGATGCATTTCCTTAACTGTTTTATGGCCTGCTCTACCTCACGACTGAATAGCTTGAAAATTCAGTCTATACAGGCTATGGAGAATATTGCAGGAGGCAGTGAGCAGCCAGTGCTAGTGAAAATGAATAGAGCAACATTCAGAGAAGAGGAGAGAATCACATTGTGTTCTGTGCATTAATCGTGGAATGGAATTATTTCAGCTGAATGTTTCCATCGTATTTTTTTTTCTGATTCTTGGGACCATTCCCAGGTCAATGACTCATTAGGACAAGGAGCAAACCTCCGACCTGTGCTTTCCTAGGGCATGCCAATTAAGAGTCTGCCTTTTGGCACCCTCACAAGTTAGGGAGTGCAGGGACGATAACATGGGCAATTTGATAGAGAAAGCATTTCTGCTTAAGGGGAAATTCCTACATGCTCCAGAGGAGCTGATCAGGACAAGCAACCACAGAAATGGAGAGCAGACCTAGGAAAGCTGCTCTGAGTTTCTCACTCTTACTTGATGGTTCAACCAATGGGCTGCAGTGAGAGGAGCTCGAGTAGGATCAGTAGAACAGGGATAACTTCTCCAACCATAAGAATGGAATGAACCAGCCAAGGAAGTGATCAGCAGCTGTGTGGCCCCTCTAAGCTGGAGATATAAACAGCTGATGGACTGCCCATTTTACCCTTTCTAATTTGCTTTTCTGTTGAAGCTAATCAAAAGCAAAAGTAAAAGGCGAGTGATCAAACTACTACCGCCTGTTTACTCCCCTAACATAGTCATGGCTGAGCAGTTAAGGTGTTGGATTTGAAATCCTTCTGCGTGTTCTTATCCTGCCAATGACACATCTTATGATTCTCCTTCAATAGCTCAGTTGTAGATCAGGAGACTACAGTTCACCGCACAAACTGGCATCCTTAGTTCATTTATTTAATTTAGGCTCAGAACAGTCTGAGACTTTCTGAACGCTGTTGTGGAACAGTGGTAGTGTCCCAAAAGGCCCAGTTTCAAGACCCCGCTTGCTCCAGAAGAGTGCGATAACATGTCTGGACAGGTTGATTTAAAAATATTTACCATGCCCAATTTCTGATGAACAGGAACAGTTCATAGTTTAATAAGAGCATATAGTTGCAAACTTTAACCACTTAGAGTCACTATGGTACAGCCCGTTTCAGTGAAATACTGGCTTCTTGAACACCATGCCATTGGTGGTATACAAGCAAGAGGTGAACAAATACTTTATCATTAAATCTTAATTTGTTTTTAAAAGTTGATGGTACCTCTATGGCTGTTTCCATGCCACCAGCAACTGATTTTGTGGGTTTGAGAAATAGATATTGACCAGGAGAAGGCAAAATACCCCTGACTTCCTTTGAAAAGTGCAGGTGCAATGCGACCTTTCATTCCATCTAAGACGACAGTTGGGGTTCTGTTCAATGTCTCCTCCAAAAGACAGCACCTCTGACAGTGCAGCAGTCCCTCAAAACCAGGCTGGAGGGTCAGCCACGATTCTCTGCTCACGTTGAAATTTACTATCTTGTATTTACTACTAGTGAATTCCACTTGCCACTTCTTGTCCATTCCATATTTCCTTAGCATTTCAATTGTCCACTGACATGTGACTAGATATGCCACCCTGGAGAGCAACCTGTTGATTGTGGGATCATTTCGCTCTGTCTTCAGCATGCTGCTTCTGTGGTTTTGCATTCCTTTACCCTTATGTTGGAACCAGGCTTTTAGCTATGCCTGGCCCTGCTCCTGACAAGCTCTCCTACCCTCCTTTTAAACCAGGGTGGGTTCCTTGGCTTGATGGCAATGGTAACATAGGGTCATGCTGGGCCACAAGGTTAGAAATCGTGCCGGTATACAGTTCTGGTGCTGATGTCCCGCAGTGCCTCATGGGTACCCACCTTTGAGCTGCTAATTCTGTTCTGTTCTGTTCTGTTTCATTCCTATCCACGTTGGCACAGTGATAGTGCCACAATCCGTGAGATGGGACTTTGTGGAGACAAAGATTGTGCTCTGGTCGCTTTGACAAATATTGATGTCAATAGAGGAATCTGTGAAGGGTAGGTTAGTGAGGATAAGGACCAGTTGCTAGTTTTTTTTTTTGCCTTTGTATTGGCTGGTCACCACTTGTCACAGACCCCATATGGTGGATACATTCTTTAGGTCAAGGCTAGTTTGGTGAGTGATGGTACTGCTGAGCCAGACTTGGTGATGGACCTTGAAGTCCCCCATCTGGAGCACATTTTATGATCTTTCTCCCTCAGGTGGTGCTCAAAAGGGAGGTGATAATCTTAGAATCCCTACAGTGTGGAAGCAAGCTATTTGGCCCATCGAGTCCACACCAACCCTCCAAAGAGCTTCCCATCCACCCCTACTCTATCACTGTAACCCTGCATTTCCTGTGGCTAATTCATCCAGCCTGAACATCCCTGGACACTATATGCGTAATTTAGCATGGCCAATCCATCTAACCTGTGCATCTTTCAATTGTGGAAGGAAACCATAGCACCTGGAAGAAACCCATGCAGATACAGGGAGAATGTGCAAACTCCACACTGACCGTCGCCCGAGGGTGGCATTGTCATCGACAGGACGTTTCTTTGCTCATTTTTGACCTGAAACTACGAGACTTTACTTTTAACTAAACAGAACTGAATTAATGACCATTGTGCCATGTCGTTCCATCTTCTATGTCTAGATGAGAGAAGAGGTTTGTTCTCAGAACCACTTCAATGATTCAATTTTCTGTGCCAGCAGAAGAAGGAGGGGAAGTGGCAGAATTGCTGATTGCAGTCACACTACCCAGAGGGAAAATGCCCTCTAATACTTGGAAATAAATGTACTGAAGCTTCGTTTTAAGGTATATAAGACAAATCAGAGTAGTATGCATTATTCACA